CTCTCTCTCTCTCTCTCTATATATATATATATATATATATATCTATTCGAATCTTTCAACAAAGTAATGGTCATTCCATTTCTGAGATGCGAAGTAACATCAGTTATTCCACTTTCAGGATAGTGTATTAAAATGTATATTATCATTAATGTCAATGCCCCTCTCTTCTGTTAAGTTCGCATTACTCGTTATAATTAAGTGTCGCGTTGCAAATAAATTTCTGCCGTTACCACGGCGCATGTTACAGTAACCGTAGAAATTTCCGTCGGAAACGATCCCCATCTCGGGGTAGTCGTGCGCCATAGTGCGGCCCCGTAAAACCATTCAATTATCTCCGACCAGTTTTCCTCATACGACTTTTGATATGATTTTATGTTTAGTGTCATATTAAGATGTACGACAAGTGGCATTCTGCGTACTCCTTACGAGATAAAAACGACCGTTTCGCTCGATCTTCCCTTTTCTTCTTTCTATTGGCTCGTTTCTTCCACTTGCGCCTTTTCTTATCCTTCCTTGTTGTCTCCTGCCTTGTTTTTATACCAATTCTTTCGCTGCTAGTACAATGCTCTCTCCTTTTGCTTTCCTTCTGCTTCCTTTATGTCTATAGTTTAAGCGTAACTAAAAAACATTTCTAATAATTTTTACGATTTTTAATTTTGTACGATTAATTTTCGCACGAGTTTGAGATAAACGGCTTTGTCCCGCTGGCCGTTCGCTTTATTACTCCGTGTTTTTACCCCTTTTTTGCTAAAGATACGCAGTCAAGCGAGTGGATTTCCATTCTTTCGCCATGTTACATTCCGCCCCGCTTTTATCCGTGAATTTTGCTTGCTGTTTTTTCATCGTATTTCTACTCGTCGCGTTACTTATCCTTTATTCTGCATTCGCATTTTGCATTTAGCGCTAAATATGGTCGGCTAGTGCAGTTTTATTCGATATAAAAATTGCATTCAGTGTCTGAAAGTCAGTCAGTCGCGTGTAACGTTAAACAAGTTTCCACCTCTGTTATTCATTTGCTCACTTTTTGTCTCTCTTCTCTGTAACCTTTAACATTTTTCCCAGCACTTTATGTGTTCCGCATTTCAGTTTCGACATAGCTCTCTCCGGGCTTCTTTGATATGTCATGCTCGCCTGTTCGAATTCTCGCTGCCATTTTCTTCCCCGTCGGCGCATCTTCAATTTTTCATTTCTCGATCGAGCGCTTTTTCGTTTCCTGACATTTGCGCTTTTCTCGACCGTTACTCTCTTTTATTTCCTCGGTTTCCTCTCTTCGATTCGTCTCTTCATCCAATTCCATAGTCCGATAGTCCACACTTTCACCATCACGCCGCTGTATGCGCGAGTCCATTCTCTCTTTGTTCGCTTTTCCATCTGCTAAGCAGCAAAATCTACTGTAGGGAGGGGCCGATAGAGAACTGATATCGTCCAGCGGCTAATTTTTATCTCTTTTCGTCCCGATCTAGTCCATTTACGGTTCAAATAAATTCTGAGCAAAAGTAGTTTTCAATGATTTAAGAACGCGCTTGCGTAGGCGCATTGAATACGAGCAATAATTCATAAATTTTGCGTCATATTTTCCCATTTTTCTAATGTCGAGAAAATATTACGCTTTTCGAAAAAAATATACTCTTTCAAAATTTTATATTTAATATTCCACGTAATTAAGTATCGTGAAGCACTACTTAAACTATTTTTCTGTTCCAATAACAAGACAGTTTGACACATATTACGGCATTTTCTTCGTTTATTTTCCTTATGTTATTTCATACGAGATTTTCTTTTAACCGTCGCTAATGTAATATTCTGAAATGTCTCAGACACGAAAGACTAAACTTCTATGATACGTAAGAATGCATTGTGCTGCAAATAAAAGCAGCTAATAGTGCATCGAGATTGCTTTTCTTCCCGCAATGTTATTATATTATTCTACCAGACAATTTATAACTAACATATAACAATTTATATACTACAATCGAAAAGTTACAAGAAAATAATTGACAAGATAATATCTATGAAAATCTGCTATCGCACATCATTACAAATTCTATAAAATTTATGGACTCCATACAAGAATGCATTCAAAAATTCATTATTTATATACGTAATAGAAAATATATTCACACAATATTTAATATGCAATTTATATGCATAGAATATATGTATATTTAACAGAAAATATGTTTACTTATTAAAATACTCATTATATTTGAATTGCAACATCGCGCACTATAATTAAACTTGTCATAATCATAATAATTAATCTTTTTTACTGTTTTACAGCCAATAAATAATGCACCAAAACATTTTTGAGATGTTAACACCAGTGCGCGAACATGCTCGTACGCCTTAAATATTGATATTTAACGGGGGATAACGTATTCGGATAATCGTAACGAAATG